TGTGTCGAGGGCCGGGCCGGGGGGGGCGGGACCACGCCCCCGAGTCGGGGCACGGCCCGAGCCAAAGCGGCCGCGGCCCTCCTGCTCGCTCCCCCTCCTCGCTCCTCCTCCTCCTCCTCCTCCTCCTCCTCCTCGCTCCTCCTCCTCGCTCCTCCTCCTCCGCTCCGCCCGCCAGGCGGGAATCGCCAGGGGCGAGGCGGCCCCTCCTGCGAAGGGCGCCGGGCCTCCTCCCCGCCCGCCCTCCGGGGCAGGAGGCCTGCCGTGGGGGGGGGGGGGGCGCCGAGGCCGGGGCCGGGGCCCCTGCCGAGAGCCGCCCCACGCCTGCTCGGGGGGCCGCCCGGCCGCTCCCCTCCTCCTCCTCCTCCTCCTCTCCTCCTCTCCTCCTCCTCCTCCTCCTCCTCCTCCTCCTCCTCCTCCTCGTCCCCCTCCTCTCCCTTCTCCTCGTCCTCCTCCTCCTCCCCCCTCTCCTCCTCCTCCTCCTCCTCCTCCTCCCTCCTCCTCCTCCTCCTCCTCCTCCTCCTCCTCCCTCCTCCTCCTCCTCCTCCTCTCCCCCGCCATCTCCGCCCCCCTCCTCCTCTCTCCCCTCCTCCTCCTCCTCCTCCTCTCCCTCCTCCTCCCTCCTCCATCCTCCATCTCCTCCTCCTCTCTCCGCCCCCCCTCCCTCCTCCTCCCCCTCCGCCCCCCTCCTCCTCCTCCTCCTCCGCCTCCTCCTCCTCCTCCTCCTCCTCCTCCTCCTCCTCCTCCTCCTCCTCCTCCCCTCCTCCTCTCCTCCTCCTCCTCTTCCTCCTCCTCCTCCTCCTCCTCCTCCTCCTCCTCCTCCTCTCTTCCTCCTCCTCCTCCTCCTCCTCCTCCTCCTCCTCCTCCTCCTCCTCCTCCTCCTCCTCCTCCTCCTCCTCCTCCTCCTCCTCCTGGAAACACACACCGCGGCAGCGCGGAGCGCACCCCCGGCCTTCGGGCTGCCCGCCATCTCCCCAAGGCGAGCGGCCTCGGGCTCGGGCCGTCGCAGGGGCGCCGGCGCGCGCCAGTCGATGGGCGGAGAGCGTGAGGTCAGGCGCGTCCCCCTATAAAGGGGCCCTCTTTCTCAGGGGCCCTCTTTTTTCTCCCCCGCTATAAGAACAAGCACGATGTTCTAAGAAAACATTGGTTTTGGTTCTTAGCACACTTCTGGGTTCTGAGAACATGCATGTCGTGGTGGGAATGCCGGGGCGGTCGGTCCCTGCTCCACGTTCTCCCCCGCCCCCCTCTGCGCGCGCGGGCGGCGGGCGGGCGGGGCGCCCAGGCCTCCTCGCGGCCTATGAGCAGCGTCGCGGCGGGGAGTGCACCTCGCCGCGTGCGGCCTTTGCGAGGGCCCGCGCCGGGCCGCGGGGCCGTCAATACCAAGCGGCTGGGCAGGAGAGGCTGCAGTCCTTGTAGGGAGGGGGAGCGTAAGACCCGGGTTTGCCGGGGCTCGGGTTCGCCATCGTTTTTTGACGGCCGCGCCTCGGGTTTTGACGAGGGGGAGTTTCGTGGGATGTCTGCAGCGGGAGGCCTCGTCAAAATGCAGGCTCGGCCTCGTCATTTTTTTGACGACCTCGTCGGGTATTTCCGAGTCCCCCGTACCCGGGTCTTACGTCTCCCCGATTGTAGGGAGGGGGCTCCAGGGAAGGCGACGACGTCTTCCGAAACGGGGCGATTTTCCTTCCAGAAGAGCTCTCTTCCGGAAGGGTCCTCGGAAGAAGCCGCCCGGAAACCATTGGTTTGGGAGAGTTCGTTTCCGGAAGAGGTCGCTTGGCAGAAGGCCGCCGGAAGACGCCGCCCGAGAGAAGCCCCCTTCTGAAGATTTAGCCTGCAGAAGATGTCGCTCCCAGGATGCATATGCGGTTTCATTTGTCGACGGGGCTTTCTCGAGGATGATGTAAAGAGAGACGACGCGACGTGAGCCACCCGGAAGAAGTGACCCAAGAAAAAGTCGCCCCGGAAGAAGTCGCCTGGAAGAAGTCACCCAAGAAGACGCCCTTGAAGATATCGACTGGAAGAAGTCAAACCGGAAAAGTTTGCCTCGGAAGAGGTCGCCCTGGAAGAATTCCAATCGAAAGAAGACGCCAGGATGAAGTCGCCTTGTCTGAACTTCTCTCGGAAGAAGTCGCCTGGAAGATGTCGCCGCTGCCACGTGATGAGTCGAGCGGAGGTATCTCACTCTTGTCGGTCCCCATTCCATTGCCACGTGGTGAGTTGAATTGGATCGTAGGTTTTGGTTGCCTCTCAGGCCTTGCCACGTGGCGTTGCCATGTGGCGAGTAGAGCGGAGTAGCATGAGTTCCCGGCCCGCTTCGCTGCCACGTGCTCAGGCGCTGCCACGTGGCGAGTACAGTGGTGCAGTAGTTGTTCCCTCTCCGAGCGCTGCCACGTGGTAAGGAGAGTGGAGCAGTATCTGTTTCGCTCCCCCCGCGTTGCCACGTGGCGCACGCGAGCGCGCGCGTGCGTGGGCGGGCGGGCGGGCGCGCGGGCGGGCGGGCGCGCGCGCGCGCGCGCGGGCGGGCGGGCGGGTGGGCGCGCGGGCGGGGGGGCAGGCGGGCGGGGGGGCTGGCGGGCAGGCCGGCGGGCGGCGGCGGCCGCGGCGGCGGCGGGGTCGTGACCATCATCAGCATCATCATCGTCGCCATCGTCGTCGTCATTGTCGTTGTCATTGTCGTTGTTATTGTCGTCCGTCATCGTCGTTCTCATCGTCGTCGTCGTCGTCGTCGTCATCGTCGCCTTTGTCCGCGTTGGGGCCACGTGCCGAACAGAGGTTGGTGTTCGCCGCCTCGGCGCTGCCGCGCCTGATGCAGCAGAGTTGTGCGCTTTGGCAACGTCGCGCGCAAAGTTGTTGTGTATTTTGTTCGCCGGCCTGTCGCTGCCCTTTGCGAACGGAATGGCGCTCTATGTGTTCCCGCCCCGCGGCCTTACCACGTGGCGAATAGATTGGATGTGCTTTCGCCCCTTTCCCCCCCCCCCAGACGCTGCCACGAGGCAAGTAGAGTGGGGTTGTATATGTTCGGTCCGCGCTGCATTGCCACGTGTTGAGTGGAGTGCGTGTGTACTTTTCGTCCGCTACCCATGTCGCTGCCACGTGGCAAGTGGAGTGGTGGGATAGTATTGTCGTTTACCTCATTGGCCTTGCCAAGTGGCGTCGCCCTGCGACGAGTATAGAGGTGGAGCAGTTGTTGCCGCCCCGCTTCGTTGCCGTATGCCGATGAGAGTAGAGTCATGTTGTTTTCGCCCCGCAGGCGCTGCCACGTGGTGAGTACACTGGAGTAGTATGTGTTCCCACCTCCGAGCGCTGCCACGTAGCAAGGAGAGTGGAGCAGTATGTGTTTCGTTCCCCCAGTGCTGCTGCCACGTGGCGAGTAGACTGAGAAATGCGTTCCGCCTCGCAGTCGTTGCCACGTGGCGAGTCGTGAAGTGGAGCAGATTGTGTCTCTCCCCCAGTCGCTTCCACCGTGCAATTCGCGCGAAACCGCATTTGTTTGTCAGTCCCAGGTTAGCGCTGCCACGTCGCGAGGAGAGTGGAGTAGCACATTCGTTCGCCCCCAGGCGTTTGCCACGTGGCGAGTACAGTGGAAGTGGTTCGATTTTCGCCTCGAAGGCGTTGCCGCATGCCGAATACAGGGACGAGGGAGGACGGAAGAGGAGAGAGGAACGATGAGGGAGGGGCAGGAGTAGGGAGGAGGCAGGAGGGAGGAGGGCGGAGGGAGCAGGAGGAGGAGGAGGTGAGAGGAGGGAGGGAGGAGGCAAGAGGCAGGAATGAGCAGGGAGGAGAAGGGAGAGGAGGCAAGATACATGAGGAGGAAGGAGAGGGGAGGATGGAGAGTAGGAGGATAGGAGGACAGGCGGCCTGGAGGAAGAGCGAGGTGGAGGAGGAGGAGGAGGAGGAGGAGGAGGAGGAGGAGGAGGAGGAGGAGTGGAGGAGGGAGGAGGGGGAGGATCGGAAGGAGGGCGGGGAGGACGGGGAGGAGCGAGGAAGAGAGATGGAGGGCGAACGAGGAGGGGAAAGGAAGGGGGGCGGGAGGACGAACGAGGATGGGCGAGGAAGGGGTGGTCTGAACTGGAGTGTTGGGCTTCGCCCCTCTCGGTGTTTCGGGTTGGGATTTCGTCGGCGTTTCGGCTCTCGCCTGTGGGGAGATTTCTGGGTTTCGCTTCTTTTCGATTTTCGGGTTTCGTAGTTTGGGTTTTGGTCTCGCCTTGGAACATGTTGGGTTCCGCCTTGCTACCGTGGCAATGGACTCCCCCGTACCCCCGGAGGAGGACGACAGCGAGGAAAGGACGCCCCCCTCCCCCGAAGTCGCAACATTATAGTTTAGAACTCATCACTAGGGTGTCGGCCAGAGGCGGGCGTCTGGAAGAAGTCGCCATCAGAAACTGCCTGGAAGAAGTCTTCTCGGAAGGAGTCGCCTGAAAAAATTCGCCCGGAAGACGGTGCCAGGAAGAAATCCCCCGGAAGAAGTCGCCCAGAAGAACCCACCCTGAAGAAATTCTCGGACGAGCTCGCCCAGAAGAAGTCGGAAAGGAATGCCGAATGCCCAGAATAGTTCACCCGAAAGAGGTTGCCCGGCAGGAAGCCATAAGACGGAATCCGTCGCCAAAACGTTCCAGTCAGCTCGCATGAGCAAGCACTCACCAGAACAAAAACGTGTCGGAAGAAGCATGCCAGAAGAATTCACCCGGAAAAAGTCGTATCGAATTCACCCTCGGAAAAAAGCCGCCCGGAAGAAGTCGCTTGGAATAAGGTGCCGAGAAGAAGTCGCCTCGGAAAAAAAGTTTGTTTCGGAAGAAGTCGCCCAGAAGAGCTCTTCTGGAAGAAGTCGCCCAGACGAAGTCGCAAGTCGTTTCGGAAGGGGCCGCCCCGAAGAAACGGTAGAGGTGTTCCCAGACCTCCGAGGGGCCCACGCTGGGGAGCCAGGCACGACCTCGGGGGCCCTGGGGAGGCGCGGGGGGCAGGGCCGAGAGAGAGGGGGCGCCGCAATAGCACGGGGTATGCCCCAGGAGCACGGCGTCGTCGCCCAGATCGAGGCCAGGATCGACGACTGGAAGTGCATGCCCGAGAGGGAGGCGGCGGCGCGGGCGCTGGAGGGGCGCCTGGGCGGCTGCCGGGCGGCCCTCGAGGAGGCCACGGCGCAGGTGAAGGAGCGGCTCCGGCAGGCCGAGCAGGTGCAGCCCGTCAGCGACAAGGTCGGGGCGTCGACGGGAGCGCCCCGGAGCCGAGACGCCCTCCGCCTCCGGACCTCAGTCGGGCCTGTCCCCAGGGGGTATACTGAAAAAAACAGTCAAAAAATAGTCTGGGAACTATTTGTCTTTCGCATCTTTTGACTATCTTGGATTATGTTTAGAATATTTTCGCTTTTTCGGCGAAGATCCTCCTGTAGGGGGACACGCCCGACTCAACTCCAGACCGTCCCTGGGGCCCCTTCTGGGCCGTGCCAGGGGCCACCTGGATCGAGGAAGACACGAAGCACAAACATGGGCCAAGGGGCCCCGGTGCCGATCCAAGGAATCCGCACGGAGCTCCGAGAGGGTAAGTTTATACAGCTTGCTCTTCTATTTCAAGCCGCTGGGGCCTCACTCGGCAGCCCATGGGGGTCGCCGGAGCCTCACCTGGCAACCCTGGGGGGCCACCACCTGCCTGCCCTGAGATCCGACGTTGCGGAAAACTCAACATCGCGAAAATCAGAACCAGAGCCCTAGACCCCATCTGTCTGCTGCACCTTGCAAGCCAGATCGATACGTGATGGTCCTGTGGCCCGAAGCCCGGTAATCTTCCATACCCCCGACGTCATGATGTGCTCACAGCGCGGACCCCAAAGAGATCTCGACCCTTCGCCCAGACCAGTTTTCCATGCTGAGTCATCTTTGCACGGCCCTGGGGTGCGGGCGCGAGGGGCCCCAGAGGCAGCAAGAACACCTCTCGTCGTAATTTTTGGCACTGCCCGACGGGTCTGGGCCTCCCATCAGCATCCCAGAGGTGAAGGCGCTTGCGCGGGCCCTCCGCGAGACCTGCGACCAGCAGCTGCACGGCATGGTGTTCGTGTCCGAGGTGAGTCTGGCGGTGCCCCTGGCCAGGCTGCTGCAGGACGAGCTCGGCCTGGCCGTGGAGGTCACCTCGGGCGTGGGGTCCATGAGGGAGAAGGAGCAAGCCAAATGAAAAGGGGGGAACGGGCAATCAGGGGCAACGTCAGGAGGTAAGTAGTAGGCTCAGGGGGTGAGGCAACGACAACCAATCGTCAGTTGACCACCAATAGGGGCCCGATGGCCCACCTCGCGCACGACCGTGCGGTGTCGCTATCGGCTATCGGGGGCCTATCGCCGATCCGTCGGCGGTATACCGCCGATTCCAGATCCATGATTCCCCCCATACGGAGCTGGTCCCCCCTCCACGTTGCCACTCAGGAGCGGTGGAGTTCCCAGATTCCAATACGCTTTAGGCACCTTCCTGCTTCGAGGATCGAGTGTCCTTCCTTGTTCCTTCGTCTTCAGGGGGCGGGCGGATATCCAACCTACTTCCAACGCCCTCCTACTTCATGTGTCTACCCACTTTTTCCGACCGACGGGTACGGATGGACGACACATGCACCCCAGGATATGCATCAAGATGTCTCACCGCTCGTGCCCACTGAACTGCCCCCCTGTCTTCGTCTGGCCTCGGAGGACCGCAACGACGCCTTCTGGAGGTTCCGGTCGGGCAGATCCCCCATCCTCGTGTGCACCGACTGCGCCGAGGAGGGCGTGGACGTCTCGGCCTGCGCCTTCGTGGTCCGCTTCAGCGCCTTCCGCACCTCGAAGGCCCACGTCCAGGGAGCGGGCCGGGCGCGGCTGCCGAGGGCGACTGTCTTCTACATGCACAACCGCCCCGAGGAGGACAGGGAGGGGGAAGAGGGGCTGGGTGGCGTGGGACGCATGTGCGCACAGCCATTGGGGCCTTCGGTGGAGCTCCCGTAGACGGGGCCACGAAACGCCGTGCCGATGCCGCTGCGCCAGAGCACCGTGCCTCCCGGGAGGCCCTCCTCGCCACGGCCAGCCTCGCCTCGACCACAAGTCTGGCCGGAGCGCTCCACGGGAAGGCTCCGGGAGAGGCCTCGCACGTTCGGTCTTGAATCGGGCCTGTCCCTCTAGAGGGGGAATATCCCAAAATAGCCCAACCAAAAGTATGGGTATTCTTTTTTAAGATATTGTTGGGCATCTTTTGAACATGTCTTCACTATCTTTTATTTGTCGTCCAAAATCCCCCTGTAGGGGGACAGGCCCGACCCAAGTTCTGCCAGAGCGCGCCCCTCGGAGGTCTGGTCAGAGCTCCCCGGGCCATCCCTGGGGTGCGTCCCCCGCCATGCCGGCGAGGGCCTCCCAGGACGCCCCAGAAGGCGAAACCGAGGGAAGGGCAGGGGCCCCCGGAGGACTGTCGCGACGCTGAGGTGAGGGCCGCCATGGGGTTCGGAAAGGGATCGCTGTGACCTCAGGTCATGCCGTGGGTATGCCTCCAGCCCTCCTCGTGCACCCAGGCGCTGATGGCGCTCCTTATTTCAGCGGCCCTTCTGTGTCGTGGCCGGACAGGGCTAGGACGAGGATGAGCCCGTTCCAGAGCTTTCCTGGACGCTCTCAGAGCGATCCGGAACGCTCTGAGGAGGTCTCGGCACCCGATCGAGACATTCTCCAGAGCCGCCGGATCTCAGAGATCCCTGATGCATCCTCACTCGATGTTATCCTTGTCCTGGATTCGTTTTCGGTGGTATCGGTCCTCCTCATCATCCTCCTCCTCCTCGTCCTCCTCCTCCTCCTCCTCCTCCTCCTCCTCGTCCTCCTCCTCCTCCTCCTCCTCCTCCTCCTCCCTTCTCATCCTCTTCCTGTTTCCTCCTGCTCCTCCTCCTCCTCCTCCTCTCCCTCCTCCTCCTCCTCCCCCTCCTCCTCCTCCTCCTCCTCCTCCTCCACTTCTTCCGTAGCCATTTTGGCTCAATGGTGTCCCAATCATTGTCTCAGCGGGGTAGGCTCCCAGTCAACCATCCAACCGAGATTTCTTCCATATCCAAAAGTCTTGTTCCACCTCAAGCTCTGCATATCCTGAGTCCAACTTCCTAACGCGCCGCGTCGCTGGCCTCCATCTCTGTGCAGTTTTGTTTTTTCTCGCGTCAGCAGGCTGCCGCTTTGCACGCCCCGCTCGTGTAGAGCCATGCAGGCCGACCGCCGCAGGCACGGCTCGCTGGTGCAGCATCGGACTTCGCCGCCGGCAACAGACACCGCAGCCCCGCAGTCACGCAGCTCCCATGATTTCCTGACGGAGCATCGCAATCCTCCAGTGACACTCGCAGACGTCAATCGCCTCCCCGTGATAGACGACGAACGGATGCAAGATATTCCAAGAGCCGCAGTGGCGACGAACGCAGTGGATCACAGAGACGACCTCGCAGAGACCGACATCGTGATAGGCGGAGCAGTGACCGTCGCAAAGACCGAGATCGACACTCAGAAGGCCGAGGCCGAGACCGAGACCGAGAGCGGGACCACTGGCGATATGAGAGGACATGACGAACGCTCTGCACCACGCCGAACAGGTCCATCTTCAGCACGGCCAGACCCGCTTCCATAGTAAAGCTCATACCGCACCTAGTACTGCTGGACGTGCTGGTGCAAGTGGCGAACCTGCTGCTGCTGCTGGGCCGCAGCTATTTCGTCTCGGTCCGCGAGCTCAGTCCGGCTTGCTCCAGGAATTGGACGCGTTCGCTACCTTTCCTGCATCGCAAGTACCTGCTGCTGGCGACGGTGGCGCATCGGGTGACATCCCTGTTGACGCGGAAAGCATTGATACGCCCTCTGCTCGCCCTGCCGCTCTTCCGATCGATCTTGCTGGGCTTGAACAGAGGCTGGCGGCGTTGGGTATAAGTCTCAGCCTGCGGTGGCGACGGCTCGAATCTTTGCGACAGCTAGCCAGCTCAACAAAACCAACAGAATGCCTTCAATACCCTGGTGCAGGGGCTCCTCTAGTACAGCAAGCAAAATGCTGCACACCTGGAAGTGCACGACAAAAGCATCCACTACCTTCAATCCAGAGCTGACCGCGTGGAAGCCGATCAACAGCGTTTGCGGCAACAGTTGCAAGCCATGAAGCAAATTTCGGCATTGGCAGAGGTCGTCGTTTCCTTGGCGTCCAGAAGTTGGTGGAACGGGAGAGAGTTCCAGATCCCACGATGTTCCTAATCGGGCCCCCACGTGCCATCGCCCCCCGAGGCATTTACAGCAGCGCTGACACAATGGATCAGTGCGTCGGGCACGGCTTGAGCTTCATGGTGACGCTCAAGAGCGACGTTTTCATGTTCAATTCCTGGGAGCTGGGAGGAGCCGCCGCGCCAGCCCGCGCGATGGCCCTCTCCCGCGCTTTCAGGAAACCCGCAGGCTTCAGAACATGTCCATGTCACGCAGTGGGCACGGCTGGCACCAACACGCCCACGTACGACAATGCCGACAAGAGCCCAAAACAAGCGCGAATGGAGCTGCAAACGAAACGGCTGCAGCGCATCATTCAAGATGCACACCCCAACCGCGATATTGGCGCGCAGAGGCCGAGCCGAAAAAAACATTATCATCATCGGTGCGTCCCCCACTGTGGTCATTGAAGCCCAAGGTGCCGAGGAACCTTCCAAGTTGCGTTGGGATCACTTGATCATTGCGCGCTTCAGCATTGACAAATCACCACTGGTGGCTGCTTTTGGACAGGCAGTCGCAAGCGTGGACACATCCATGTAGTCTACTCAGCAGGAGGTGGTCACCATGGACGACGGACAGCAATGCGAGGAAAGGAAGTGTGGTTTTTTGGGACGATCGCACATTGCTGCGTTGCAAACCTCATGGACGGAAAGCCAGACTCAATACATTATTTGCGTTTGCGCAAAGGGGGGCTGCCAGGTGATGACGAGAGATCATACTGCAGACGGCTATTTCGACCTATCCCTGCGCCTACTGGGTCTTCTCCAATCCCTTCCCGCAGAAGGCTGGAGGCACGGCATTTCTTGTACCGGGGGGCCACCGTGGGCAAGATAATCTCCTGGTCAAATTTCGGCATGATTTTCTCTGCCCTGGTCGGGCGCCCATGCTCTCCACCGCCAATCTGGAAGGTAATTTCGCGACGCGGCTGCTGGGCGTTCGCAACTTCGAGATAGGCCGTACCAGTCAGGCAGAGATCCAAACTAAAGACCCAACTCGAAGGGCCTTTGTTGGAGCGGGTGACTTCAATATCATGGCTGAGCCAACGCGTAGCTACGTCGACCTCACCCGGGGAGATGTCGTTGTCCATCCCGCGCCTGATGCACGCGGGTAACCACGTCAGCGTTGCCGGGGGCGGCCATTCGCCATGGTCACGGAGACCCTCGCGGATTGCCCCGCACCTTTTTGCAAAGATAAAGCGGTGGCTACGCTTGGTCGGGTCTCTATTGGTGTTCTTGGCCACTACCTGTTGGACATCGATGCGCTGGTTGATGCGGGCATCGACGCCGCCGCCGTTTCGGGCGCCAGGCCGAGTGGCCACGCGCCCATCGCCATCCACCTTCGAGACCGAGCGCGACAAGATCCAGGTACGAGCATCCAGAGCAGGTCGTTCGAGACCCATGCTGTTCCGTTATACGTCAGCAGCATCTGCGCGCTGCTCAGCTCGGTCGGCCCCCAGCGTATCAACGGCGACGCGCGAAGGATTTCATGGCCGAAGCTGCCCGCCAAGTACGCGACGAGCTACAGCAACTCCCGATTGCTGATCGAGACCCCCGCGCAAAAAGGTGGTCGGATCATCGCGCTGTGCGCCAGCTCCCGCAGCGTCTGGCGCAACGCCGTCCTCGCGGCGGAGGAGATGCGCGCAACAACGGAGGACTGGGTTCGTTTCTTGACTGTCGCGGGCTCCTGTCGCAGGACAGGACCATTCTCGACTCCATCATGAACACCGCGAACTACGAGTTCATCCAGCGGGGGGCCAGGGCGGCAGAAAGCAGAGCTTCCGGATCGGCGGGCAGGGGGCAGGGGGCAGCAGCGGAGGACAAGCGGCGCACTGCTCGAATGCATCAGCGTCGCTCCAACCGTTGGGCCCGTAAAGCTCGTCGTCTGGCGCTCGCGGGGGTCCGTCCTGAAGGCCTCCACGAGACTTCAGATTTTGCCCGAGATCCTGGGGCCACTGCTGCTGCGCTCAATGCCCGCTGGAAACCGATTCTCGGAGCTAGGATTGACGATGGCCAGGCCCAGAGGGAATCTCGAGAGCAGGTTGCCCCCCAACACGCCCTGCTTTCCCTTTGACGATCCTCTGAAACTGACCTTTACAGTGCTCTTAGACATGCTAGACGCTCTGCTCCTGAAACCGATCAACTTAGCTACTCTGCATAGAAAGCGCCACCCGAACAATTAACGGCTTTGCATCGTCTCGCGCGCCACCTCCGTGCTGGTCACGTTGTCCTTCTGGGGCTCAACGATAGTCTATTCCCCTCGCCTAAAGAGGCGGAGCCTGACGATGCCCGGCGACGCGTTCGGAGCCCCGGCAAGGCGCGCCCACCCCGCGCAATAGTGACGCAAAATCATGGCCAGTGCCACTCACCTCCAGATCCGCAAGGTCGCTCAGGAGAAAGTACACGAAGCCCAACAGGGCTGCCGCCCAGGGCGATGCTTCCAGTCGAACATCGCCCACCTGGGCGCCGCGGCCCGCCGGGCCAGCACCGATCCCTGTGTGCGCCGCCTACGACGTGGAGGTAGCCCTCTTCAGTCTGCGCTACCAATGCCTGTTTGAGATCCTGAGTAGATTTGGCGCCCCACCTGGGCCTTTAATTTCTTGCGGGCGATGTACTTCCTGCCGAGAGGACTTGCTCGGATCCAAAATCGATTACTTTTCCCGTTTCATCTGTGCTCAGGCGTTGGACAGGGATGTCCTCTCTCAGTCTCTGCGGGCTCTAGCCGTGGACCTAAGATTGCGCCTCCTTCGCGCGGCCACCCAGCTTCCGCAGGCGAGACAACACAAAGGCACCCTCGGTGGTCGTTCGGACGACGCGGGTAATTATGGTGACGCCTCGCCCTCGGGATCTCGCGGGAGTCGCCGGAGTTGTTCAGGGCGTCGAACGTTCTGCTCTGCTCCAACTCCACGGAGCGAAATGTGTCCTGGACCCTCTTTGGGCTGAATACGTGGATGCAGTCACAGATGGGATCCGTCTTGAGTTGCACCAGTGGGCCCAGCAGTGGTGCAATTTCAAGAATGCGGGCCGCGCCGCCCACCTCGGGGTCAACATGGGACTCGCTGCCACATTAAGCGTTAATTTGGGCCCCGCTGCAGAGAAGTGGTGGACCCGCACTATTGCCCTTCACCGCTGCGGTGCTGCCCTCCGTGTGCTCGCGAGTCTGTATAATTCAAGGGCCCTTTCCATTCTCCCCCATCTGGCTCAGCTCTTTCCAATCCCTGCCCAGATTCGGAAGTTGGAGCACTGGGCATTGCATGTGTTGTGCAAATGCCGCCGACCAGCCTCAGCGCTGCAGATCTGAATTCCCCGCCATCTTACTTAGCTGTTGTTCCTTACTATGTCTCTTTACTTGGCTGGGCAAGTAGTTGGCGCGCACCCTCCTGGACAACGAATCATGTTTTGCAGCCTTCACTGCAGAACGTCAGAGAGCGCGCGCAGGGTCACGTCACCACTGTTCGCCTCTGCGCCGGCGTATACTCGGCCGCGCGCTGGGGAAGACCACGCCCCATTGCCCAATTTCTGGAGCGGGCGCGCTTGCCCCCGCCGCATCTTGCCAACATGCAAGGCTGGCTCGACGCTCTCCGCGCCGCGCGCACCCGTGCTTCTGAGGCTGTGCAAGAGGGCCGCAAGCCACATCCCCAACGCATCTTTGCTCGCGCGCTCCGCCATATTGCCATTTCCAGACTCCTTCGCACACGCGCTGCGGACGCGTTCTAAGGCCCGGCAAATCCCGATGCCTGGAGGGGGGCGGTCGGTGGACGCGCGGTGGGAACACTGCAAGACGTGCATGGCGCGCTTGAAGCCATCCTGGCAATGGAGCATTATGAAGAGTCCTCGGTGCGCGGACGAACATACACCGCTTGCACGCAGGCACCCCTCCCACCATTTGCACATGGGGCTGCGCTGCCCCTGACGAGATTGCATACTACCCCCACTGCCTTCCATCACCTTGCCATGCATCACGCATGGAGGCGCCGTCATTTCCCAGGCTCGCCTCTCACGTTGCTGGGACTGCGGTGGGCGGGCGGGCCTCCCGAGGGGCATCGTAACCCGTTTGCCATTTTCGCCGCCAGCTGAGCCCGCAAGATGGCGCTCGAATCAGACAATTTGGGAATGAGTGAGAGCGCGGCGGGAGGACTCACCGCGGGCCCTGAGCTGCGAAGAAGGAAAGAGGGGGAGGTGGGCAGAGCAGCGCCGAGGAAGCGCGCAGCGAGAGCAGGTCCTCTACCGCTCCATAGCCATTTCCGCCGCATCTCTGATTTCGTCTGCCCGCGAGGAGCATCGGGGAACGCTGTGCGAAGTCCTTAGTCTTACGGTACAAGTGAAAGACCAAGACAACTGCTTGCAAACAGTCTTCGCGCGTGAGCTCCGATCCCGCCCGTCCGCAGTCGTCCGAAAAAGAACCCAAGCGCCACCCAGCAGGAGCCCACTCTTCCTCGGCCGATGCCATTGCGTTGGCCCGAGGTCGAGGCCGGCGGTCGGTTGGATCTTTACGGGTACGTCCCCTCCTCCTCCTCCCCCTCCTCCTCCCCCTCCTCCTCCTCCTCCTCCTCCTCCTCCTCCTCCTCCTCCTCCTCCTCCTTCTCCTCCTCCTCCTCCTCCATGTGGCTTCCGAGGAGATCAGGAAGGCCGACCTCATGCGCGAGGTGGCGGAGGATGCCTCGCTCCCCGGCCCCCGCGCCACACGCGAGTGCCTGCCGCCCGGCTTCGAGCGCATCCCTGGGGTGCACCCGCTGGTCTGCCCGCGCACCGGGGCCCAGGCGAGCGACGGAAGATAACGGGGTCACCTCGACTCCTCCCACTCGATTCGGTTCGACCTGGATGGCTTTCGATTCCGATTTGATTCGATTGCGGATTCCGATCTGGATTCCGATTTTTCAGTGGAGGCCAATTCGCCTGCCGAGTTCCGCCGATTCGACTTCTCCCGACTTGGCTGCCGATTTCCACCGAGCCGATTCATTTCAATCGCTGATCCGATGTATCGGTTCGATTCTGGGCTCTGCATTCGCGTGATAGCCGTTGTGTCCTCTCGCGTGGGGCACCCGCTTCTAGTCGTCGCTCCAGGTGAACTTTGGGAACGCCCAGAAGCTGCTGCAGGTGTACGTGGCCAAGGTCACCGGGGGCCAGGGCTCGCTGGAGGCTTGGGGGGCGTGGACTGGGGAGGGGCGACAAATTGTGGGGGGGGTAGCGAGGGCTGCCGAAAAGGGGCCCTTCAGGGCCCCGAAAGGCTCCCTTTAGGGACCAGAGTGGGAGCCTTTAGGGCCCGAGAGGGGCACCTTTCTCTCCCCCTCCATGTATCGCCCCCCCCATTAAGTTCGCGCCCAAGACCTCCTCCTCCTCCTCCTCCTCCTCCTCCTCCTCCTCCTCCTCCCCCTCCTCCTCCTCTCCCCCCTCCTCCTCCCCTCCTCCTCCCCTCCCTCCCCCTCCTCCTCCTCCTCCTTCTCCTCCTCCTCCTCCTCCTCCTCCTCCTCCTCCTCCTCCTCCTCCTCCTCCTCTAAGAGGCCGAGGCCGCACTAGAGGGGGAGGAGGGCGACCTCGCGCCGATGGTGCCGCTGCTGGTCGGGGCCGCTCGCTCCGGGGCGTCTGGGCTCGTGGTGCCGGGCCCCTGCGGGGGCTGCTTCCTGGCCGAGACGGAGGTCCACAGGTGCGCGACGGGGCCGTGTCCTTGAGTCGGGCGTGTCCCCCTACAGGGGGATTTTGGACGAAAAATGAAAAATACCCAAAACATATTCCCAAATGGTCAACAAATATTCAAAAAATAGTCCCCATACTATTTTTTGACTATTTTTGAACTTCCCCCCTGTAGAGGGACAGGCCCGACTTAACCGTCTCCATAAAGGCCCCCCCAGTGGAATCCGTCGTCGTTGATGTCGGCAGCGGCGGTGGATACAGTTGGGCCAAGGTCTAAGACCGAGGTCGGTTCGGGAATGGTGCCCTCGTGTTTTTCGTGCTTGCTGGATGTTTTTGTGCATCCTGGGGAGGGCGCCTTTGGACGTTCCGTTCGTTTTGGCCGACGGAGCGTCTCATGTTTTTGAAGGATGCTCCTGTGGCCTAGGTCCGACTGTATGGATATACCTGGCCCCCCGAGGGTCCGAATACATCCATGCCCACCGCCTGCCGAGGTCCCCGAAGATCGATCCCTCAGGCGGTGAATACGGTGGGGGTGTTTGAGGAAGGTGCTCAGGAGGTTTCAGACCCTGAAGGGTTCCTCATCCAACGAGGGCGGCGGTGATGTTCATGGCCAATCCACGATTGGAGTTCCTCCAGCTTCCAAACCTTGGATTCCCGATCCTTACAAAACTCAGGGTTTGCGAGGGATTGCTGTCCCCCCAACACGACCAAAACGCGTAACAAAAAAATTGTGAGCCTGTCAGAAAGCCTCCCGGAACCCGTCGGAGAAGGTTTCCGAAGGGTTTGGAACAGCTTCGGCCGTTTTGGGAGGGAGCACGGCCCCTAGCGAACCCTGGACTTTCTGACCTTCTCCAGCGGTTCCTTTCCCGATGCCCTCACCGTGTGTCGGGTCGGACGAAAGGGGGGGATAGCAAAGGGCGGGTTTGAGAATCAGCTCGCGTAGCTGGTTTTCCCTGCGCCTCCCGGCGCCGGAGGCGGCTAATGTATCGAGGAAGGGGCCCCTCGGTGAGGCCGAATCCAGCTGCACGCCGCAAATTTCGGACCCCCCCCCTTTCCCCTATCCCCCCCCGTTCGTCCGGCCCGAGTGCGGATCAGCCCCCGCCTCGGGGCAGGTTCTTCGCGGGCGCCGCGGGGGCGCCCGGGCTCCCGGCGCAGCCGAGGCTCCACCTCTGCTACGTGGCCGTGCTGGTCCTGCGCAGCAGGGGCTGGCTGGACGACCACAACTGCGTCCCCGAGGGCGTGGTGCGGCAGCCGGCGGCGCGCAAAGATCGGGGGCGGCAAAGAGGGGGGTGATGACTAGGGGGGGCGTGGATAGCATGGCGGTGGCCATGATGTTTCCCCAGATTTCATGGCGCCTCTTCTCATCTCAATACGTTCCTTGGCCCCCCCCCTGGGCCGCGCACATGCCGCCAGCCAGGATTTGCATTCCCCCTCTTGGACACCCCCCTCTTAGCCGCCCTCGAAAAGATCTGGGTGTCGCGTGTTGCGCAATTGAGGGTGGCGGTACATGGGAGGGGAGGGGGGGGGGGGCGAAAGGTGCACCTTTCGTGCACCGTAGGGGCCCTCTAAACGGGCTCCTTGGGGCTCAAAAGGGGCACGAATGGTGCACGCTTGTCCGCCCCTCCCCCCCACCCATGTATCGCCCCCAGTGCGCAGCGACGCCCCCTGGGTAATCGAGAGGGGTACGGGGCGAACGTTGTGAGGAAGACCAGCAACAGTTCTTGCTCCTTTTGTACAGGTCTCGCTGCCAATGTCGCCGCGGACATGACCTCCTTGAGACAAGGACTCGCCTGCCCAACAGCGGCCGCTGCTGGTTTTGGAGAACAGTTGTTGTTGGGCATCGTGACCAGTTGTCCCGTACCCACTTCGGTCGTGCTAATGCGAGGGGGCAGGGGCGAGGGGAGCTTGGCATCGCTCGGAAGTGTGCAGTTTTCCGTCGGCGAGGACCATCGAGGAGCATCCTTGATCACTAGGCGAGAAAAACACGCACGACAACGAAACAAGCACAGGGAATGGACGTGCGAGCGATGGCCAGGTCGTGCTAATGCGAGGGGGCAGGGGCCAGGGGAGGGAGGCGGCCTCCTGAGGTGGCATCCCCCGCCCTCCCTGGCCCTCCAGGAGTGCCCCAGCACAAACCGAAGCAGGGCCTTTGGGCCGTGTAGCGCTCACAGCTCCCTGTGCACACAGTGCTGGCGGGCCAGGTAGGGCAGAGGAGATCGTCGCAGCCGGACTGAAAAGGGAACAGCCCATCCCAGCGTCTGAGGAGGAGGAGGAGGAGGAGGAGGAGGAGGTTTTCAGCAGTCGTGACAGGTCTGCAGGTCTGGAGGGCTCTTCTGGTACACTCTGGAACGTCAGGGTCTGACCTCCCAGGGGTGGGCCTTCCTGAGGGCCTTTTAGAAGCCCCCTGGCCTTCTCAGAAGGCCACCGCCTTCCTCACCCAATGCCCCTGACCTTCTGGAGTGCTCGAGAATGGATCTCCAGACCTGCAGACTGATCAGGACTGCTCCAACATCAGCAAGCCCTGGAGCACCGGTGCCACTCTCGTGCCGCACTTTTAGGATGTCAGGGCCCCGCCCCTCCGCTCCACATTTCGAGCGGCGCTCACACCTTCCCTCGGTTCTCGTCGCCCCCTCCCACACCCTTGGCGATGCAACTCCCTGGAAATCAAATTCTGTTTTCGCCCTGGTCCGAACTCCGGCTTAATCGAGCTTAATCCCGCTGAATCTGGCTTAATCCCGTTCAATCCCGCTGAATCCGGCCTAATCTTGCTTAGTCCGAGGCCCCTTCCGGCGTAACAGCTCCCAAATGGGGCTTAATCCTCTTTAATCTTTCCGACGGAAACTTGCCAGTAGTTGCCTCCTAACACCCTCCCGCACCCGCACTCCAGGCAAGAGTGGGCCTGCCAACGGGTGCCCCCAGTGTGGTTCTCAGCTCCCGATGGGCCCGCGGAGCCCCCATGGGCAACTTCCGACGCTCGGAGTCGACAAGGGATGCGGTTCCAGATTCCTTACGACGCGATGTCGTATCGCATGTACAGTCAAGACGCTGAAATGAGGAGTAGCCTGGGCACGAAAGGGGCTCGATGTTCCTTCGGTCATTATGTGGCTGTTCCTCTAGCCCTCCCTGTGACGGCTGACGCTTTTGGGGCTAAACAAGGGGTTCCGTGCCTTATTTACCGTTCCTTGTTTCAGCGGCCCGACTATACCTGCTTCTAGGCCTCCCTGGTGGGTCCGAGTAGATGGGGTCGGAGGACCGCGCCGCATCGCCGATGCATCGGCGATGCGGCTCGATGTGGGGCCCGATTTGCTTCACGCCGACGTCGCCGATGCATCACCGACGTCCCCGATGCATCGCTGGTGCATCACCGATGCATCGCCGATGCATCGCCGATGTACCGGCGATGCGGCGCGATCCTCCGACCCCATCTACGCCCGCCCCATCTAGGAGGCCTCTAGCTCGTGGATCCCTTACAGCGAGATTCAGGAGGGGGAAAAGCACACAGACTCAATTAATCGTCGACTCCCCAGGAAAGGGTTTATCAAAATGTGGGCAGTGGGGGGGAAGACGAAAACCCAGAACATATGGGAAAAGATGGGGAGGCCTGTTGTTTGTGTGTATTTATCTGTCTGTCCCAGGGCCCCTTCAGAGGTTTCGTACCGCGTGTGCCCACTGTTGACTGCATTCTTTGTGCACGTGTGGGCCCAGGCAGACCGCGTGGCCCGTGGAGATCGGGAGCGTCCCCGTGCTGTCGCTGCGGCCAGGCTGGCGGCCGCTGGGCCTGCTGGGCGCCGACCGGGAGGCTCGAGACGATCGAACCGTGCACGGAGACAGATCGAAGGAGAACAAGTGGCACGCGTGCCCAGGCTCTTGCACCAATCGGGGGAGCGTAGGACCCGGGTTTGCCGGGACTCGGGTTCGCCATCGTTTTTTGACGACCGCGACTCGGATTTTGACGAGGAGGAGTTTCGTGGGATGTCTGCAGCGGGAGGCCTCGTCAAAATGCAGGCTCGGGCTCGTCATTTTTTTGACGACCTCGTCGGGGATTTTCGAGTCCCCCGTACCCGGGTCTTACGTCTCCCCGAACCAAGGAGCTGCGAGGGACAGGAGGCATTCGCCTCCTTCCTCCAGGAGTGTCCTTCTCTGGCCAGGGGGGGGAAAGACGAACGACGAACGAGCGAACGACGACGACGAACGAAAAGAAAGAGGTCCGAGCTCTAGAACACAGCTCTAGATTTCTTGGATCCGCGCTGTGGCCCCCCCAGCGGCGCCTCCAGCGCCGCCACTGGCGCGCTCCGCGCGCCAGGGAGGGGGTCCAGCGCGGATCCGAGAAGTCCGCGCGGAGCGCCACAAGCTTATTTATGTTTATGATGTTTTTTCTTCTTTTATATTCCAGGCCTCCCAAGTGGGGTCCGACTGGATGGATCGCAGGATCGCGCCGCATCGCCGATGCATCGACGATGCGGCTAGATGTGGGGCCCGATCTGCTTCACGCCGACGTCGCCGATGATTCGACGATGCCGCGCGATCCTCGCTCCCATCTGCTCAATCCCCATTTGAGAGGCTCTGAGAGGTCGGTATATACGAATGCCAGCAGCAGTTCCGGCTCGTGTTGAGCAGAACTCGCTGTCGGTGTCGCCGGGGACAGCGCCCACTCGAGGCAGCGGGTCGCCCGAGTGCCCAGCAGCCGCCGCTGCTTGGGCAGCGTGGCAAGGGCTCCCACGAGGGTGCGAAGTTATTCGCGCTTCGCGCTTCGCGGTCCTCGTTCCTTCTCCTCCTCCTCCTTGTCCTCCTTTTCTCCCTTTGGGGGGGTGGCGCGAGAGCGCGAAGTTATTCGCACTTCGCGCTTCGCGCAGCGCGAAGCGCGAAGTTGGGAGCCCTTGCGTGTGCTGTCTCGGCACTCTGCCCGTGCCCCGCGCTGCCCAGGCGGCGCCGGCCCGGCCGCCCGCACCGCAGGGCGGCGAGAGCAAAAGGAGGCGGCACGCCGCGGGCGGCGCGGAGCAGGCCAGGCCTCGGGGCGCTGCGCCGCCCGAGGAGGAGGAGGAGGAGGAGGAGGAGGAGGACGAGGAGGAGGAGGGGGGGGGAGGAGGAGGAGGAGGAGGAGGAGGAGGAGGAGGAGGAGGAGGAGGAGGAGGAGGAGGAGGAGGAGGAGGAGGAATAGGAGCAGGCGCGGAGCAGGCGGGGGGGGGGGATCAGCGCAGGTCCGAGGAAGCCGCACGGGCCGCCAAGCGTTGACGTCGGTGCCGCCTCCGCTGCCTCGGCGACACGTGCGAGTGGCTTTTCGCCGGAGTGACCTCTGGTGCGGGCCCACTGGGGTCCCCCAGGTCGCCGAGCGCGATGCGATAGTAGCGTCTTGCGTGCTTGTGTTTGACCCCCCCCCCCGCGGCCCCCCAAGAAGCCGCGCACCAAAGGTCACTCTTACCCAGGGTCACTCTTGCGTGTGGCCGAACTGCCTCCGGGAGCTGTCCGGCAAGGAAGATGCCGCAGCAAGGCGGGGTCTGGAGGCCCCGGAGGCAGCACGCCGCGTGCGGCGGCGCGGAGCAGATCAGTCTCGGCCGGACGAAAGGAGGGGATAGGGGAAAGGGGGGGCTACGAAATTTGCTGCATGTAGCTGGTTTCGGCCCCACCGAGGGGCCCATTCCTCGATACATGGCCGCCTCTGGCGCCAGGAGGCGCCGGGAAAACCAGCTACGTGAGCTGATTCTCAAACCCCCCCCTTGCTATCCCCCCCTTTCGCCCAGCCTGACAGTCCTCGAGATCCGGGCGCTGCAGTGCCTTCGCGCCCAGCGATGTCGCCTTCCCCAGGGGGGGGGGCCCCTTCGGAGCCCCTTCGGCACCTGAGCTCGTTCGGGCGCCCATGGGGGCAGAGGCGAGCGGGCTCAGTTCCGATGGGGGGTTGTGGGAACGTGAGCCCGGTCGGCCGCCGAGTGGCCTCCGTCTCGAGCCCATTCGGCGGCCGCACACGCTCAGGAGTTCCCTCGCGATTTGCACAGGACTTTCGCCCTCGGTGGAGATTTCCTGGCGATTTGCACAGGAATCTCTCCCTCGCTCGAGACTACCTCGCGGGCTTCGCCACGGAACTGCGCTCTTACTCGAGCGCTCTCATTCGATAGTTTTTCGCTATATATGCCCAAAGGGCTCCAAAGGGATCCATGGGGTCAGGCCCCGGGACCCTGGCAGATCGGTCCCAGCGATTTCGCCTTGCACTGACTACAGATCTGCCGTACTTCTGCTAATTTTCGGATGCCGAGGTTTCTCACAAATTCACCAACATGATCTGAAAAAGTAGTGCGGGAAGTTCCGCCTCAGAAAAGTAAGGCGGGCATTCCAGCAAAAGTACGGCAGAAGCAGCGACGGCAATGTAGGGCAGAAGTCGATGCCCAAGGAGCCTGAAAAGTGGGGCGGGAATTTCCGTCCTATTTGCGACAGCGGCCAAAGTAATCACGGCGGATCCGGAGTCAGGGGCCCCAGGGCCCTCGTGGATCGCTCCGCTTCGAAAGATGCCATAGGAAGATATTTTAGGGCTCTTTTAGAAGGGCCCGGAGGCGTCTAAGAGCGAATCTCAAAAGTCGTAAGGGCCTTTGAGACATGCAGCATCGTGCAAAAGCACGACCAAAAGCCCCATGGCCCCACCTTTCTGCCCCATTGTTGCAAAGCCAGGCGACAACGCCCAGTCCAACAAAAATTGCATCGCCGAGATCTCCGCGTTGCCTTCTTAGAGGCCCGCCTTCTCAGAAGGCCGCCCCTCCCCGCGCCACCCCCTTGTGCGAGCAGTCGATGCTGGGCCCCAGGATGGTGGGTGCACAGGCCCTGCCTGCCTCGGCACGGAGAGCGTCTGCACCGTGGCATGGCCCAGGAGGGCCCTGGCCAGGCACGTTGGTGGTGTACGGATGCCATCCCACTGCCAGCTCTCACCATTTTTCACGCGGGGATCACCCCACATCGCATCACATGACATGAGCTCGCTTTTTGTTTTATTCCTAGCCATCACACAAGAGACAAACGCGGTGGTGGTGTGCAGATGCCTTCTGCGCAGGCGAAGCTGGAGGCGATCTGGCTGGACCCGCTCGCCATCGAGAACACGCAGAAGACGGTGAACAGGACCTTCTCGAACGGGGAGTGCGTCTTTCGACTCATGGTGGCGCTCGTGCTCGGGACCAGCCGGGCCGCCGAGCTCCCGCCGATGCGCGTGTCGTTCGACGAGGGATCGAGACGGTGGTTCTCGGCGGACAACCGCCGGTGCTTTGCGATGAAGGTCGTGGCGCCCCTCATCCAGTTGCAGTCAGTTGAGGTTGATCCGATCAACTGGACCTCCGAGATGGGCAACAAGTTGAACCAGAGGACAATTGTTGGCGACGTTTGGGCCACCACCCAGGAGAGCATTGAGGCGGTGCGCCAAGAGGTCGCGGCCGCTGCGCAGAGCATGCCCGAGGGTGCAGAGCACGGCGCCGAGACCGATCACGAGGCTGCCGATGCGACCGCAGTTGCCATGGCGGCCGAGGTTCGGCGGCGAGCGCGGGGGGGGGGGAAGTGAGAAGCAGAAGGCCTTCTCCGAAGGCGGCCAGACTCCTCAGAAGCCCTCCTCGCGCCTTCTGAGGAGTGTCCTGCGTCTTTGGGGGGAGGGATTCGAAATCCTCTCAGAAGGCTGGGAGGCTTCCGAGCCCTGTGAGAGGAGGCCCGCTCCTTGTCGCTTTTTCCCCCCCCCCCCCCCCGCCCGCCGCCGCGAGGTGGCCAGGCGGCTGCAGGATCTGGAGGGGAAAAAACACACAGACACAATTAATCCTCGATTCCCCAAAACATATGGGAAAATATGGCAAGTGGGGGGGAAGACAAAAACCCAGAAAATATGAGAAAATATGGGGGATATTTTTATTTGTGTGTATTTATTTGTGTGTTCCAATTCCCCTTCAGCAGGAGTCCGGCGCCGGGGCCGAGAGCGCTGCCGCGCACCTGCCGGTGCGCGCGGGGCGGCCGGGGCCGCGCCTCGCCCTGAGGCCGTACGTGGCAGCCCGCGCAGCGCAGGCGCCTCCTCCTCCTCCTCCTCCTCCTCCTCCTCCTCCTCCTCCTCCTCCTCCTCCTCCTCCTCCTCCTCCTCCTCCTCCTCGCGCGCGAGCTTCCTTACAGGCACTGAACGCAAGGTGGCGCAGGCAGGTTCCCTTTTGGGGGTGCTCTCGTGGCTTCTCTTGTCCAGAGCTGTGTGCAGGTATGTCGAGGAAGGCACATGCCCCACAGGGAGGCAGGGAGGGAGAGAGACAGAGACAGATCGAGAGAGAGAGAGAGCAAAACAAACATCAGAGAAAGAGAAAGGCAAGAGAGGACTGCATACACAGACTCGATCATCTACCTAAATGCATTTATACACATATGTATATACACACATGTGCGTGCGCACAAACAAAATTACACAGATACCGCACACTCTACATGGTCTTAGCTACCTGCGTGTGGATGATCTCGACCACGCCTGTGGCACAGCAGATCCTGGGTGGTGACTAATCATTGGCCCTGGTAGGCCCTTTGTCCTTTTTTCTAAATTCGGCCAGACCCCATGCACTCCTGCCGAATGCGGCTTCATAATCGGTCCAATCGCGCTCTATCCAGCTCAAATGCCTCCCACTCAGGCCTGAAGTTCTCTTTCGCTCGCCTGGGAAGATACACCAGGAGGTGCCTCCTGGCGCTGGGCCGATGAAGCTGACATACGTAAGCACGCGGCGCAGGCTCCTGGAACGCCCTCGCGGGACACGGCGGTGGAGCCAGCGAGGGAGCTGGGCGGCAACTGCAGCGGCTGCGGCGGAGGCGACCCTGGCCGCGGCCTCGACGGTGCCCTCCTGGCGCCGCAGGAGAGCTGCCTCTGAAGCTCCGCGTCCTCCTCGAGGTCCTCCTCGCCCTCGCTGCCGCTGCCTCCTCCGCCCCCCGGGCCCCCCCCGCGTCGCTGGAGAGAAGAGCAAGGGCGGGCGGTGGTCGGCCACACTCCGACTTCTGGGAGGGCCCTCCCGACGAACAGCCAGTCCTGGAGAAGGGGTCCAGGGGCCCAGGATGCGAAAAACAGCATGTCATCCTTACCCTCATCCCCTATCTGTCTTCTCATCCGTCGACCCTCCTCCTGAACCCTACGGCTCATCCGTCTTCCCCCTTCTCATCGTCGTCCACCCCTGCCTACGCCTCCATGCACGCGCAGCCGGCAGTGGGGAAGTGAGGATCGAGTCGGAGCCTTGACGATGATCCCTCTGCCATCCTATGTCCCTCCACCTCCTCATCATGGTCACACCTCCCCCTCATGCTTCAACCTCCTTCCCTTTCCTCCCTCCTAATTGCTCCGTCCTCTTCCTCATCCTGCCGCTCTACATGTTGAACCCCCTCGACCACTCCTCCCCTCGGATGTGCCTCCCCATCCCCCACTTCTCCTTTCCCTCCCTGATCCCAACCCCCTCGATAGGGGGAGGGAAGAGGGGAGGAGGATGGTCCTTTCTTCGGGAGGAGGAGAGGGACGGAGGAGGAGGAGGAGGACGACGACGAGAAGGAGGAGAAAGAAGAAGAGGAAGTGGAGGCGGTGGACTCCCCCTTGCCGATGAAGCTTCAAGACAAGCAACCCACGACACGCGCAACGATCTCCAGACCCCCGACGCCGTCTTGAACGATGAAGGAGAGGAGGAGAACCCACATAAGAAGGGCTAGAAGACGAGGATCCCCCCACCACGATTAAGAAAGTACCAACGACCCACGATCCGCACCAGATTTCCCAGAATTCTGACGTCGTCAAGCCCCCGCCCCACCCCCTCCATACCCAGCACAAGTTGTTTGGTCGAGAGTTGTGCGTTGATGGCCCCGGCGCCAGAAAACTTTCCCTCTGTGCGGCGAAATCGCGAAAATCGTACATGGTACATGTAAGTGACGTTTGGAGATCTGGCATCCCTAACAAACCCCCTCACCTCGGACCTATCCTGGAGCGCGTTCTGACCAGGACTTCGACGCGGATCCGACCGTTGCGACGAGGGCCCCGCAAGAGCCCCCCCCCCCCCCCAAGAAAAAATAGTAACGTCGGAGCCCCCGCCCCCTCCCTTCCGTCCTCCTCCCCCTCCGAAGCCCTCTCGATCGCCACTGGGGCGCTCAATGCAGCCGAGCTGCCGCGATGGAGTCACCTGCACTCCGCCGCTGTGCCTCTCCCGCATGGGCAGCATCCCCACTCGTTCCCCGAGCCGCCCCCTGCCGTGGCGACGAGAGAGCCCCCCGAGGGCCCTGTGAAGGACGGGGATCCGCAGGGGGAAACAGAAGCGGAACGGATGCGAAGCATCACATGGAGGAGGAGGAGGAGGAGGAGGAGGAAGAGGAGGAGGAGGAGGAGGAGGAAGAGGAGACGCGGGGGGGAGGAGGAAAGATGAGGAGGAGGAGGAGGAGGAGGAGAGAAAGGACCAGTGCAAACCCAAGACTCAGCAACGAGGTTGGACTAACCTGCCCTCCAAGCTCCCTCTTGAGGGGCCCCCACAATGATTCATTCCCACTGAGGGCAGTGCCCCATTGGGAAACAAACGTTTGAAGATCCTGCCCCGTGCCAAAACACAATTCTCGGGACTCCGACGCCACGAATCGACCTGACTGTTGCGTCTTGACGATCCTGGATCGCGCCAGAACGCCATTCTTGGGACTTTCAGCACCGCGAATCACCGCAACTTCTGCGCACTGACAAACCTGAATCATTCCTAAGCACACTTTATGGCAATTATGTTGGCAATGAGAGCCCGTAGCACTTTACTTAGAGCGAATGTGCGCGGCGTTGAGGCGAGAGCCATTGAAAGAACCGCTCTCAATCCGTGAAACTTGATAATACGAATGCGCGCGGCGCTCAGGCGAGAGCCAACATTTTGAAAACCGCCCGCCCTCAATCCGTGAAACCCTTGCACATTTCTAAGACGACTGTGCGTTGCGCGAAGGCAAGAACCACATTTCGAAAACCGCCCGCCCTTAATCCGTGGAAAACCCTTTGGCGATTGTTTGAGGCGAGTGCGCGCGGAGCCAAGGCGAGAGCCACATTTTGGAACCGGCCCGCCCTCCAGCTGCGAAGCTGCTGCCAACCTTGAAGCTTCAGGATCGTAAGTGGCAAAGAAGTCACGCCCAGCCCGCCCGTCCGGCTGGCCTCTGGGTGCGACAGGAAGGAGGTGTTGTGAAGGCTTTACGGCCAGCGCCGCCGACCCTGAAGGGGGACGACGACATCAACGGCGGCGGCGGCGTTACGACGAGGACGCGAACGTGGGCCAGAGGGATGCTTCTTGGGGTCTCTTCGCAAAGCTCTGGGGGGCCTCTGGGGAGGAATTCATTGGCCTCTTCGGAGCCTCTTGGGGACCTCTCGGGAGCCTCTTGGGGCCTGTTCGGGCTTCTTTCGGACCTCTTGTGGGCATCTTGGGGCCTCTTGGCCTCATAAGGAATAGGAGTGGAGCGGGAGGAGTGGGGGGAGTCCCTCACTGCCTCTGCATCCCCCTTTCCTCCTGCCACTCCGCCCCCCTTCATTCTACGACGAACGTCGACGACCGACGACGCTCGACGACGACGTTCCAGACGCCCGACGACGTCCAGACGTCGGGCGACGTCTGAGGACGACGACGACGACGACGACGACGACGACGACGACGACGACGATCGCGCGCCGGCCAGGAGGACCACTCGCCCACACGGCCGCGGCAGCCCCCCGCCGCGCACCCGAAGGCCCGCATGGGTCCCGCACGACGACGACCACCACCGACGACCGACCGACGACACCGACGACACCGACGACGACGACGACGAGGACGACGACGACGACCGAGGACGAGTACGACGACGACGACGACGATGACGAGGACGACGACGACGACGGCAACGACGACGACGACGACGACGACAACGACCACGACGATGACGAACGACGGCACCGACGACGACGACGATCAGGACGGCCACCACGACGACCGCCGACGACTGCCGACGACCTGCGACGACCACGACCGGCGACGACACCCACGACGACGATTGCAACGGCGGCGCTTGTGACGAGGATGACCACGACACTGACCCTGAGAACCCTGCCGTCGCAGGTTTCTGTACAGGCCGTCTCTGCGTGGTGCTGGGCCTTCATGGCTCGTTCGGGCTCGAGGAACGCCGCAGAACGACGAGGCCGCGGGACCTGGCTGTGATCATCCAGGATGGCCTCGTTTTCCGCGACGTCGGATCCTACAGTGGCACAGTTTGCCGCGTGATGCCCATTTGAAGTACAGCACAGTCGGACCGAGGTATAAGATCGAGGTCGCTTCGGGGAGGGCACCCTGATGTTCTCCGTGCTTCCTGGATGTCCTCGTGCATTTTGGGAAGGGCACCTTGGGGGATGCTCTGTGTGCTTGGGCCGGCGGAGGGCCTCCTGTTCTTGGAGGATGCCTCCCCCTCCCCCTCCTCCCCCTCCCCCTCCTCCTCCTCCTCCTCCTCCTCCTCCTCCTCCTCCTCCTCCTCCTCCTCCTCCTCCTCCTCCTCCTCCGCCTGGCCGGCCCGGCAGCAGAGGACTGCGGCGAATAGGCGCTCTGCGCACGGGCGCTCGGGCGCTGTCGATGCACCTGGACGCTCGGTGCGCAACGCGGAGGGCCGTGACCTGACCTCGCGGGGGGGGAGGTGGACGGCACGCCGACCCCAGCAGTCCGCACGGACTTCCCACCGCCGCGCGCGTGTGGCACAGTCGTCGTGCTCTCACTCGCTGTTTTTCCGACCAGCCTGTTGCACGAAGGATTGCAAAACGAAGGATTGCAAAACGAAGGATTGCACGAAGGGGTTTTTTGCAATCCTTTGTTGCACGGGGTTTTTTGGGGGTCCTCGCCTTGATCGCCACAGGCATGAACCTTCGGCGCTCCCGGCGGCGCCTCCAGCGCCGCCCCATGGCGCGCTCCGGCGCAGGTCCAAGAGACCCCCGCGGAGCGCCGGACGTTGATGTTGATGTTGCTGTCTCTTCTTATGCTTGAAGAGACAGCGCCCCGCGTTCCACGTTCTCCTCCTCCTCCCCGTCCTCCCCCCTCCCATCCCTGCCTGTACCCTCCGCATGTCCACAATTTCAGCGCACCTGGTACAGCGCTTAGTAGCCCCATAGGGAGCTCCAACGAAGGCCCCAGTGGCTGTGACCACATGTCCAAGTGGCCGTGACCACATGTCTCCCGCGCCACCTAGTGCTGCGACTCGTGTCCCCATTGAGGGCTCCCCAGTGGCTGTGCCACATAGAGAGCTCCACCGAAGGCCCCAGTGGTTGTTTCCACATGCGTCCCGAGCCTCCCAGTGCGGCGCTTCGTGGTTCCATAGATAGGGAGCTTCACCGAAGGCCACATCGGCTGTGAACACATGCGTCCCGCACAACCTTGTACGACGTTTCGCGGCCCCGTAGGGAGCTGCATCGAAGGCACCAGTGGCTGTGACCACATGCGTCCCGCGCCCTAGTGCGACGCGTCGTGGCCCCATAGAGAGCTCCACCGAAGGCACCAGCGGCTGTGACCACATGTCTCCCGCGCCACCTGGTACGGCGTTTCGTGGCCCGATAGGGAACTCGACCGAAGGCCCAGTGGCTGTGACCATATGCGTCCCGCGCCACCCCATACGGCGCATCGTGGCCCCATAGGGAGCTCCACCGAAGGCCCCAGTGGCTGTGACCTGACGCGTCCGGCGCAACACAGTACGGCGTACTCCACCGAAGGCCCCAGTGGCTGTGACCACATGCGCCCCACGCCACCCAAGACGTCGCTTCGTGGACCCATAGGGAGCTCCACCGAAGGCCCCAGTGGCTGTGACCTCAAGCGTCACGCGCCACCCAGTATGGCGTTTCGTGGCCTCACTGGTAGCTCCACCGAAGGCCCCTGTGGCTGTGACCACATTTGCCCCGCGCCACACAGTACGGCGCACCGTGGCCCCATAGGAAGCTTCACCGAAGGCCCCAGTGGCTGTGACCACATGTCTCCCGCGCCACCTAGTGCTGCGTTCGTGGAGCCAAAGGGAGCTCCACAGAAGGCCCCAGTGGCTGTGACCACATGTGTCCCACGCAAGCCAATACGTTGCTTCGGGGCCCCATGGGGAGCTCCACCGAAGGCCCCAGTGGCTGTGACCACATGCGTCCCGCGCCACCCATCAGGACGTTTCGTGGCCTCACTGGTAGCTCCACCGAAGGCCCCTGTGGCTGTGACCACATTTGCCCCGCGCCACACAGTACGGCGCACCGTTGCCCCATAGGGAGCTCCACCGAAGGCCCCAGTGGCTGTGACCTCATGCGTCCCGCGTCACCCAGTGGCTGTGACCACATGCGCCCGCGCCACACAGCACGGCGTGTCGCGGGCCCATGGGGAGCTCCACCGAAGGCCCCAGTGGCTGTGATCACACGCGTCTCCCCTCGTATATTTTTCGGCACACCCCTCAAGCGCTTCGTGGCCCCATAAGGAGCTCCACCGAAGGCCCCGGTGGCGACGTTCGCATGCGCCCCGCCCGCCCATTTCGGCATACCCCTAACGCGTTTCGTGGCCCCATGGGGAGCTCCACCAAAGGCTCCAGTGGCAACGTTTGCATGCCGGCCCCGCTCCATTTCGGCACACCCCTCATACGTTTCGTGGCCACATACGGAGCGTCACCGAAAGCCGCGCCCGCATGCGTCCCCGCCCCATTTCGACACACCCTTTGCACGCTTCGTGCCCACAAAGGGATCCACCGAAGGCGATACCCACAATGGCGATACTCACAGCTGCATATGGTTGGGCCCTTCGCCCAGATAGCTTTGCCGACCGGCGCGGGCCCTCGCACACCCCCGCCCCATGGAGTAGATCTTGGCTGTTTTTTGGCGCTTGTTTCAAGCAGGCGCAGTCTCCCACATAGGACGCACTGTTGCAAACAGCCGCATTGAACAGATGTCCGGAGCCAGACCCCCCCTCCTTCCGTCCAATTTCGAAACTCTGAAAAAGAAAACGTTCACATGTCTGCGCGTCTTCGATGTTCTCTCCAGGCCCCTCCCAGGGCGCGTTCATGACAAGGTTCGAAGGTTGATGCATCAGTGGCGACGAGGTCAACGCGGATATCTTGTGGGCGCCAAAACATCCAACGTCTTGATAAAACAAGACGGAGGTTTTCTGTAGTGCTCGGCCACCAGGAGCCCTCGTCTGGCCTCGGGACCGGTAAATTATCTCCTCAGGATCAAAGGCTGGCCCCATAGTGGGTGTCTGGACTTGCGGAGGCCCGTATTGAAAACATCAAATGCGGATCGATGTTCGTGACGCCAATGGGAAGAATGTTGCTGTTCGTGACGCCGCTGGCAGGGAGGAGGATGGTCACAGATGCGGCTCGCGGACGGGCTGATCGCGAGGTTGCTTCCGTTGAGACCGCAGAGGGCCCCCGGCAAATAATTATGCGGACAACCCCAGCGTCGAGCGAAACGTCGACTTTGTCCATCCTGCGTGGGGTCATGAAGATATAAACTGCGAAGATGATGACCGTCCCTTTACGTAGGGTGGCACGCGCAGCTGGCCACAGCGTTGACCCTTCGAGTCCGAGCGCTTCTGGCGAAGCAGGGTAGGGCTGACGTACGTGATTCCGACGTGCGAGATGCAAATGATCGGCTGCAGTGTCCGTAGCGCTGCTGATGGTAAGGTTCCCTTTTTATCCATTGGGCCGTCGTCCCGCGCCCATGCAGACGCAGCAGATGGAGAGAGCCACTAATAAGAGACAGACGCAGACAATGTCTCATCATTTCTCCCTTAGGGGGGGGGGCTTTCGCCTACCTCCACGGGTCCACTGGCTGAGCAGCTGGAGTGGTTTGTGTGGGTGTCCCAGTGCTGTCTGCAGTAAGGCGGATGGTTCCCAGCCACGGGCCCTCTGAACTCGTGAGCAGGACTCCCTATTCAGCACAGAAGAACGCGATCAGATGCGACAGGACCCGCCACTGGCCGACTCGTGTCCAGACGCCCAATGCAATGCTACGCAAGTCTGCCAGCAGCGCCAGCGTGTGCGCGCCCTCCGCCTTTCAAAGGAGCTCTGGCAACGGGCACGCCGCAGTCGCTCGTGCATGCCCCTCCCCCCCCCAGAACCCCGACGCCACGATTTTACCCACGACGTCGACCCCCAGAGGGCCTCCAGACGCCGAAGATGGCGACAAGCCTCCCGCCGCGACGCCTCGCGACGCGAGGGGGCCTGGGCCCCCCTCGCCCCCCTCCGCCCGCACGAGCCACTTCGGCCCAGGAGGGCCGCGGCAGCACCCGCGGCCGCATGGCCGCCGGCGCACCGGCGCCCGCCCGGCGATCGGCGCTCCCGTCGCCGCTGGGGCCGCCAGCGCGAGCGAGGAGCCACGTCGGGCGAGGGCGCCGCACCTGCGCCCCCCGCGGCGGCGCCCGCGCCGCCCCCGGAGGCCGTCTGCGCGGCGGCGGCGCCGGGGCGGAGCCGCCGCGGCAGCCGCGGCTGCGGCGCCTCGGAGGCGATCGTTCTTTGAGATTCGGGCAGGCTTCTACGGCGAGGTCGGTTCGGGGAGGGTGCCCACATGTGCTTCCTGCCTGTGGGGTGCTCAATTGTGTGTTCCTCGGGGAGGCGGGCGCCCTCGAGGGTTCCTCGGTTTGGCCGGCGGAGGGGGTCATGTTGCTGAAGGATGGTCTTCTGTCCCAGGTCCGGCCGCTGTCGGACCGGCACGGGAATGCCCCCCTCCCTCCGCCGCCTTGCTGAGCAGGGCTGGGCTGGAAAGGCGTGCAGGTGGGTCCCGACCTGCTCTTGAAGTGCAGAGTTCCTTTCGGACCTCGCCACGCTCCTGCCCCAGCCCTTCTCCCCTCCATGCAAGCCATCAATCAGGAGTGGAACAGACACGCAGACACAAGGAATCGTCGATCCCCAGAAGGAAGTGTTGCGGGGGAAGACGAGAACCCAGGAAATATTGGAAAAGATGTGAGATCCTAGGATTTGTGTCTACTCATGTGTGTGTGTGTGTGTGTGCCCCTGGGCCCCTTTGTAGTAAGACTTGCCAGAATCGGAAGAACAACTGCCATCTCGGAGGCGCGGCCGGGGGCGGAATCGGAGCCGCCCCTGGAGGCAGAGCCGGGCCCAGCAGCGGGGCCTGAGGGAGAGATGGAGCCGCGCGGCCGCGGGCGGGAGAGGTCCGCCGGGGGGGGGGGGGCCTAACAAACCCAGCTACCCGACGATGCTCGGCCACGCGCGCACGGCGGTAGGCGAAAGGGGGAAGGCTTCAATCGAAGAAGAAAAAACGCCACAAACATAAATTGTTGGCGCTCTGCGCGGATTTCTTCGATCCGCGTTTGGCCCCCACCCCCCGCGGCGCCTCCGGCGCCGCCCCTGGCGCGCTCCGCGTGTCAGGGAGGGGGGTCCAGCGCAGATCCAAGAAATCCGCGCGGACCGTCGAAAGCTTTGTTCATGCCGTTTGCTCTTCTTCCTCTACTCAAGCAGCGCCGCCACGATGCGGTTGTTTCCATCCGAACGTTCTTCAGGAGGGAAAAAACACACAGAGACACAATGAATCGTCGACCCCCAGGAAAAGATGGGAAACTGTGGGAAGTGGGGGAGAGGACGAAAGCCCCGAAAGCATGTGGGGAAATCTGGGGGCTCCTGTTATTTCTGTCTGTTTACTTGTGTGTCCCAGGGCCCCATTCAGTCCTCCCCCCTTGGCGCCTCCGGGGCCCAGCGTCGGGCCTCGGGGCAAGCAGAGAGGCGAGAGAGCCCCGGGCGAGGAGCTGGCCCCGGAGAGGGGCGCGGGATCTCCGGGGCGGCGCGCGGGAAGGAAGGCACTGTCGGATGTCCGGGGCGCGCGCGGGCAGTCCTCAGGAGGAAAAAACACGCACAGACACAATTCATCGTCGATTCCCCCGACAAGATGGGAAAAAATAGCGGAAGTGGGGGGGGGGAAGACAAAAACTTTGAAAAGATGGGACATCTGAGGAATCCTGTTACTTGTGTCTATTTATTTGTGTGTCCCAGGGCCCCTTCAAGTTCTCCTGAACCGCAGAGGCTCTTCAGCGTTGCGCCCCCACCCCACCCCGCGCTCGGCTGGCAGTGCTCGTCCTCGGCTGCGTCTCAGAGGGCGCGGGCCTCAGCTCTAAATGTAGGGCCGGCGCCTTCTAAGAAGCAGCCTCCTTCTCAGAAGCCTCCCCCCCTCCCCCATACCCCCCTTGTGCGCGCCGCCACTGAGCTTTTCTCTGACCCCTGATACCCAATCCGGGGAGTTGTGCGCTCCGTCTTGTCCCCGCTGGCCCAGGGAGACTCTAACTCCCCAGAGCCCCAGGGTGGTTCCCAGAGGCGGGACGGCGACAACTGTATGCACACACGGCCACCGATCCTGGCCAGGTCCGTCCTGGGCTCTGGGTCGGTGTATGCGGGCGCCCTCCTGGTCTCAAGGGCAGTCGACCTCGGGCCCAGGACTGGCCAGGCTAGGATTCGGTGCAGGTCCCCCCAGACCCGCAACATTCCCAGACCCCCTCGCGTTGCGAAAAAGTCACGACGGGCGACTGTTCGCTATTTTCGGCCTCGGGGGGCCCTGACAGGGCCTCGGGACCGTCAACCTCGGGACCGTCCAAATACAATTCAGGATGAAAAACTGGTCCTGCAGAAGGGGTCCAGACTTCGGAGGGGCGATGTTATGAGAAAACACGACGTTCGAGGTCTGGCGTGAGCCCCCGAAGTCTCGACCCAATCCCTGGGGCCGGCTTTTCATCCTGAGTCGTTTTTGTTTGCTACGGTCCTGGGGCCCAGCATGGTGGGGAGGCCAGAAATGGGGGGGGGGGTGAACGCTGCACCGTTCGTGCACCTCAGGTGCCCTCAAGGGCCCCCTGCAATCCATAAGGGATACGACATGCGCACGTTTGTTCGCCCCCCCCCATTTATCGCCCCCCCCACTTCGTTAGACCCAATGAAGATAGCCAAGAACCTCCGTCGCGATTTCCTGTCCACGCCAGGGGTTCTGGGCTTGCGCACTCTGTGCAACATCGAGCGAGGATCGTCTGGGATGCTCGTTCGATGCTGCACCGCAGGCAAATTGAGCCCGAAGAGACCCTCTAGGGGGCGAGACGCGCATAGTCTCTGTTTCCGTTCGGTCGAGACTCGATCCGAAACCAGCGCCCAGGGCGGACATCGCCGACCTGGAGAGGCACATGCTGCAGGCCTCGACCGGCCCGGTTCCGCCCGCGCCCTCGTCCGGCGGCATGGTGTCCCGCACGCGCTCGCGCTCCTGGTGCGACGCGGAGGCGCGCATCCTGGCGTCTCCGGACCTGCGGCAGCAGCGGTTGCTGCGCGAGCCGGGCGGCTTCCGCCGCGACTTCCTCCACGCGCGGGCGGGGGAGCAAGGCTCGGCACGATCGGAACGGGCTCGGAAAGAATGGGCACGAGGACCGACAGCAGTTCCCGTCCATTTTGAACAGGACTCGCTGTCGGTGTCGCCGCGGATGCTGTCCATTTGAGAGGGAAGGCGGCCTGCCCAACAGCGGCCGCAGTTGCTTTTGGACAGCACTTGTTGTTTGGCAAGGTACCCATTTTTTCCGTACTCTTTTCGGCGTGCAGAAATGCGGCCACCGCCAGGGGACAACTCCGCTCCGCGCGGCGGGCTGCAGATTCTCAAAGCAGGGGCTCGCCCTCCCAGACCCCCTGGCGTCGTCGACGGGTCGCCGCGGAAGGTTTCTGCCATGCTCGGCCTCTGGGGGCCTTCGCTTGGCCTCGGGACCGTTCCACAACGGCTCGGGATGAACAGCTGCTCCTGGGGAAACGAATCCGGAAAAATAAAAAGATCAGGCAAACAAAAGACATGACGTCGGGGGTCTGGGCTCGCCGCACTCTCGCCACCAGCTGAAGGCCAGCAAGAGGTCGGCGGAAGGCAGGCTCTGGTGAAGCGGTGGCGGTGCTGCTAGCGGGAGTTTGGCAGGGGGAGGCGGAAGTAAATGTGAGACGTCGGCCGACTTAATGAAGTCGAGAGCCTGCAGAGTCGGCCATTTGGGCGCCGGCCGAAATTCCGGTGGATTTGACCACATCGCCGACGTCGGGAGTTTGTGCTTGCGCGCATGCCCAACGCTTCAGAGCCGTGCCCTGGGATGCCGAGGATTTCTCGGGGAGTGCTGGCTGCGTGAGCACGGCAGGTTCATGCGGCGATGGTGCGCTGGCGACGCCAGCGAAGGCGTCCAAGGTTGAACTCCGCATGATAAAGCGACGCGGAAGCACCGCGGGGCACGGTAGCGCCACGCGACTCGACGGAATTCAATTTGAAGTTTCGGGGCCGCGATCGGTTCAAGGTTGAACGCTCGCAGCGGTGTCGAAAACCCTTGGGCGCTTCGAAGCCGAGCGAATCTACAGTATCTGCCAGCCTCTCAGGTCGAGGAACAACACATGACATACACATAAGCCTTTGGAGGTCCGCGCGGGTTTCTTGGATCGGCGATGGGTCCCCCTGGCGGCGCCTCCGGCGCCGCCTCTGGCGCGCTCTGTGCGCCAGGGAGCCGGGGAGGAGAGTCCAGCGCCGATCCAAGAAATCCACGCCGTATTCCGAGAATGTACGTTTATGCAGTTGTTGTTGTTGTCGCTGCTGCTGCTGTTGTTGTTGTTGTTGTTGTTGTTGCTGCTGCTGCTGTTTTTGTTGTTGTTGTTGGTGTTGTTGTCGTTGTTGTTGGTGTTGTTGTTGTTGCTGCTGTTGCTGGTGCTGGTGCTGGTGCTGGTGCTGGTGCTGTTGCTGTTGCTGTTGATGTTGTTGCTGCTGCTGCTGTTGTGGTTTTCCTGTGTGAGGGGGGAAACGGTCCTGCGGCTCGGCGAGGACCCCCAGAGGCCGACAACGACAAGCAACAATCCGTCCTGATGCTTTCAAGACCCCAGCGCGTCTGGGTCCTCATCCTCCGTTCTCCGTGCCACCAGGGGCCCACAGGCCTGGACACCGGCAGCTGTGGGCGCGGATGTCTCCTGGCGGTGCCGAGGCCTGGAGATCCCCGAGAGGCCCGCCGCGTGGGGCACCCGGCTCCTGCGGCAGATCTCCGACCAGTACTGGCAGCTGGACGAAGAGCAGGTCGACGGGCGGGGCTAGGGCACCCCAGATAGCGGTGGGACGCTCCCAGAGCGTATCGGGGCCAACTGGCCTCACGGCCCTGTCCCCCATGCTTCTGGACCTTCCGCCCTCACCTCCCGCGCCTTTTTCGAAATGATCGATGTGGAGTTCCTTGAACGACGCAAGGTTTCCAAGAGGTTCGATGAAGTACTCCGCACCTTCTGCGGAAGTCGGACGGCATGGAAGATGGAGGTGGAGGGGAGGCCCCCTCAGGCGGTTTCAAAAGCACCCTGGCGCCGCCCCTGGGGTGTTGAGACCGCTGTACTCAGCGGGGGCCGCTTCAGGCCAGCTGGAACTGCTCCGGGGCGCGTTGAGAAGAGCCAGGGCCACCTGGGGGCGGACTGCAGCCCGAAGCTGTCCACACCCGGTGCACCTTCCAGGGCCGCCAGACTTCAGAGATCCCCGAGTTGTCCCTGTCCGATGTTGTCCCAGTCGTTACATCGTCTTAGGGCCTGGCGGCGCCCAGAATCAGCAAGACAATAATTAGGTTCGGAGCATGGGGTTGGGAGAAATGAGGATATCCTTACGCGCAGGCGGACGAAGGTCTCCTTCAATGCATCTAGATGCTATTGCTCATACCCTTCATACTCCCAACCCCTTCCTCCCAACACGATACATGTTCTCCTCACAGAAGGGGGTGGCGCAGGGGGGGTGGTCTTCTAAGAAGGCGGGGGGGGGTCCGAGAAGGCAGCGGGCCTGTTTAGAAGGGCCCAGCGGGCTTCTGAGAAGCATCCCTCAGAAGGCGGGCGGGCTTCCAAGAAGCCCAGCTGTATTCTTCGAAGCCCCGCCGCCTTCTCAGAGGCTCACTCCCCCCGCGCCGCCACAGGACGTCCTGTGTGCACCGAGGCGTCTTCGATCTTCGACCCGGGACAGGTACCGTACATCGTGTTGCGGGTATGGCAGCCGAAAAGTGATGCACCGTACCGCGTTGAAGCATGGCCTGAAGGGAGCCTGGAAGTGGTACGGTGCATCTGCGACCCATACCAGACTTTGAAGCACAGTCGGTCGCGTCCGATCTCGCCGGTCACGATCGACGAAAAATATGGTGTACAGTGATCCCGATGCGGCGACCCCAGCGCCAGCGTTCAAGGTTAAACGCCGCCAGTGGCCCAGAACCGGCCGACGTCGAGCAATCTGCACCATCGAAGAGCCGCGATCGTTCAAGGTTGAACGATCCACGCGGCGTCAAAAACCAGCGTCCGCGACCTCGCGACGCGAACCAGTCGTGGTGGGCGCTGCCAGCAGGTCGTGTCCCGGGAGGCCTACCTCTTCGGACTCGACCAGTGGGGCGACGACCTCTGGCGAGACTGCGCGGAGGGCGGGGCCACGCAGCCCTGCCCGCACACGCTGAGCAAGTGCGGCATCGCTTTCGTGATCTTCAAGGCCCGGCCCCCCTCAGGGCGCGCGGGGGGCGAGGGGGAGGGGCGAGGAGGCGCAGGGGCGAGGAGCAGGGACGAGGAGGAGGAGGAAAAGGAGGAGGAGGAGGAGGAGGAGGAGGAGGAGAAGGAGGGACGGCGATGATGATGATGAGGGAGGAGGAGGAGGAGGGAGGAGGGAGGAGGAAGGAGGAGGAGGAGGGAGGACACGAGGAGGAGGATCCGGGAGAGGCCTCGAGGCACGGGGCCGGCGCCTGCCGGTGCGCCCGACGTTGTGCGCCCCCCCGACGGGCGGCCCGCGGGGCGGGAAGGGCGACCGCGCCTCGCGCGTCGGGACGGCTGGGCCGCGAGGGTGCCCCCTCTTCGGGGGCCCGGCTTCGGGGCCCGGCCGCGGGGCGCGGAGCCATCGCTCGGATCGGGCCGGGCGACAGGGGGGCGCCTTCCCGGACGGCGCCGATGGCCCCAGGTTTCCTCCTCCTCCTCCTCCTCCTCCTCCTCCTTCTCCCTCCTCCCTCCTCCCTCCTCCCTCCTCCCTCCTCCCTCGGGCCGGGCGACAGGGGGGGATTTGGAAAGGGGGGGTTACGAAGTTTGCTGCATGCAGCTGGTTTCGGCCTCACCGAGGGGCCCATTCCTCGATACATAGCCGCCTCCGGCGCCGGGAGGCGCCGGGGAAATCAGCTACGTGAGCTGATTCTCAAGCCCCCCCTTTGCTATCCCCCCCAGGTGCCCACGCCGCTACGCCTGCCCGGCGCAAGGCCGGAGGTGCAGGGGTGCTCCTGACACCTCTGTGGGCTGGCTCTGTCTTTCTTTCTCTCCCCATCTCTGCACTTGCCCCGTTTGAGCCGCCCTGGGCCTCCTCGGAGGCCATCGTGTCCGTCGCTGGATTCGCCTCGAGAACCTGGTCGGAGCGCACCCCCGGAGAAGTCCGGGGAGTAGCGGTATTGGTACCTTCTGGTTTCTCCAGGTTTCGGGGCCCCGTTCCGGGTCCTTGGGCCATCATGCAGATCGATCCGGCTCGAAAGATGCCGCAGAGGAGTGGGGCCCGAGGCTCCAGCCGTGACTATTGACCATGTGTTCGATGTTTGCTGCGACGGAGCCCATGGCGGCCTCTCAGGGCACACGGCCAGGGCACCCAGGAGAACGATCACCCTGAGATCATGGTGTTTCAAGGGTGCTGCAAGGGTGCGCTTTTTCGAAGGCCTGGAGGTCGGCACCCACATCGGAACAGCGGCTGCCTCCATCAAGGGAAGATGGCCCCGAGCTCGGTGGCGGTGGTAACACCCGGGCTTCTCAGGTGGCCGAGGGGTCGCAACAATTGCCAACGTCCGAGATCTTCTTCCCCAGGTGGAGGCACCCCCCCGTGTTGGTGCCGGTGCCAGTGTCGAGGCCCACCACTTCTTCAGGGCGACGGCGCGAAGACAGCCGCGCGTCGCGCATCGCTGGGCGCGATGCGCGGGGTGAAGCACCACGGGTGAGGAAAGGAACTTCTTCAAACACAGCGGGGCCCAGCGCCAGTGGCCAATGCAAGAGGCCCGCGCGGGCCTCCGAGAGTTTCTGCTTGTGCCGCTTTCTTTCTTTGTGGTAACCCAGTCGAGGCGAACTGCGGCTGCGCTGTGCTGTACCAGCCCAGGGCGTGGAGGAACGGCGGGCTCGTGCTCTCCGCCGCAGCGTTTCCGACGGTGGCGGTGGTGTCCATCCTGTGCGCGGCGAGGCTGCTGCACGCCCGCATGGTCGCCGGCGGGCGCTTGAACCTGGTCGGCGCCGAGGTCCAGGGGCCACGCTGAGGGGGGGGGGGCACGGGCTCAGGTTGAGGAGGTTGAGGTTTTCGGACGTCGTCTGCTGCTTTCGAACGGTATGGAATATGTCGTGGCCCAGGGTACAGTCGGCCCAGATCAGTAGGTCGACCCTGCCAGCTCAAGGGTATCCTTATGTCCTGTACCTCGCGACACGTGCCCTCTTACACTCCAATGGCGATGTGGCCTTCGCGAGGGTCTTGTGCCCTCTCGCGTGCCCCCGCCAATCAAGTCCGACTGCGGTTTCATCGGTTGCGCCTCGTGGAGGGTTCCAGGGGTGCCCGAGTCGTCCCCGACGGCCGCTGGAGGCCCGAGCTCTGGCCCCGAGGCAAGGGAGCGGAAGGTCAGTCTTAGCGTCAGGGGGGGATAGGCTCAGGCGTGGTGTCGCTCGGACGTGTGCACCTTTTCTCGGCGGGGATCCTTAAGGAGGTTCTGGATCATCCTGCGAAAAAAAGCACGCACGAAACCGAAAAAACACACAGGGACTGGGCGTCCGAGCGACGGGGAGTAGGGGAGGATGCATCGACCCCCAATCGCCCATTGATCGACTGGGTCTGATATGATAGCCCACACCGCCCAGGACCGCTCGGTCTCGCTCCCGGGGGCCTATCACCGATCTGTCGTCGATGCATCGCCAACTCTCCCTGAACAGGTCCCGCCCTAGCGTTGCCCCTCAGAGGAGGGCCGCAAGCTCAGTTACGGCGACCTCATGGAGCAGGCGCTCGGTCCCCGGGGCCGCACCGCGATCAACACCAGCATCGTGCTGCTGCAGAGCGGGACGTGCTGCTCCTACTTCATTGTCATCGGCTCGCTGATGCAGAGCGTGTGCTTCAGGACCGTGCCCCTGCAGCGGCTGATCGTGGCCCAATTGCTCATCATGCTTCCGCTCGCAACTGTGCGGAAGGTGGCCAAGCTCTGGCCCCTCAACCTGTTGGGGACCGTGCTGGTCATTGCGGGCACAATGATCGTCATGTGCGAGGAGGGGCAGCAGCTCGTCTCGGCTGGCCCGGCGAAGGGCATCGAAGCAGCGAACTTCGAGGACTTCTTCGTCTGCCTCGGCACCGCCTGCTTCATGTTCGAGGGCATCGGCCTCGTGCTGCCCGTGTACGAGAGCAGCCGGGAGCCCGCCACGTTCCCGCGCCTGTATTGCGCCGTGATGTGCGCCACCGCGATGATGGTGATCACGGTGGGCTGCCTCGGGTACCTGGCCTACGGCGACGGCGTCGACAGCCTGATCTTGTTGAACCTGCCCGCGGGCGGCCTGCAGGCGTTCGTCCGGCTCGCCTTCGTGGTGCAGGTGGTGTGCTCCTTCCCCCTGCAGCTGCTGCCCGCGGTGCCCACGAGACCCTCCGGCACAGCTCAAAACTGTGGAACTCGGGGCCCCCTAAACATCACGACACCCATACCTAACTGTGGAACTGTGGAACTCAGGGCCCCCCGAACTGTGGAACGTCCATCATCAGGGCCCCCCAATACTGTGGAACTCAGGGCCCCCTAACTCAGGGCACAGTTCAAAACTGACACCCATGCCTATACGTCCCAGGTGGAATTCTGGGGGGGGGATGCGTGTTGTCGGATGGGGGTCCCCGCTCGAAAGGGACACCCCCTCGGGGTCCGACAATTCGCACCTATATCTATAGCGCCTTCATCGCCTTGCACTTTCCCATCCCTTCTCCTTATAGGTTCGGGTGTGTGTGATTTGTTGATAATAAATCGGGACTCGGATATACCAGCGCATTGGCTCCAGGCCTCCTACATGGGGTCGGAGCGAATGGGGTCGAAGGATCGCCCCGAATCGCCGAAGCATCGACGATGCGGCTCGATGTGGTGCCAGAATTTCCCCGCGCCGATGGCGCCGACGTATCGCCGTTGTCGCCGATGCATCGCCGATGCGTTGGCGATGCGGTCCGATCCTTCGACTCCATCTAGTCGGACCCCATCTGGGAGGCCTCGAAGAAATCAAGGCGTTGGCGCGCCCAAGAAAACTGCAGCCGCGGGTCGAAGCACTCTTGTCTCCGTTCTCTGCGGGTGAACTTTTCAAAGTCCTGGTCAGCAGCGTCCTGGTTGAATGGGGGCCTTGAAGAACGAGGGCCGCTGTGGCTCCGTGAGGGGCTCGGGCCTCCCATGGGGCTCTTCCCTGGGTCCTCCCTCGGCCGCTCGTCGTGAACCCCGGCGCAGCATTGGCCAAGTGGCCAAAGGGTGGCCCAGCCCTTTGCCTTAGCCTCCTCGTTCGATACTCGTTTGGGGAACCTTCCTGGGGCCCACCTCACGGATCTGTTCGACACCGACTCGGCTGAAGTTCGATGAAAGTTCGATTCAGGTTCGACTCGGGTTCGAGTCGAGTCGACGGACGTTCGACGCAGCCCCGACGCACGAGTCGAGCGAGTGGCCCCAAGAAGGGCCCCAGCATGAGCATCTGATCCTCGTGGCGAGGCTCTGACTGCAGGACATTAAAACCAATCACTGCCCCCACCCCCCCGCGGAAGGGGGGGGGGGGAGGTCAGGTTGCGACAGTGCAAGAAAGCGACGGGCGGACGTTCACCAAGAGGGAGGGGTGGACTCGAGGCATCTGAAATTTTCCCTCCGCCCGCCAGATCGATACGCTTCCTGGCCACTCCGGACGCAGGAAACGATAAGGCACGGGTGGGTGAGTGGAAGAGACTGCCGCTGTTCTCGGGGCACCCTGTCACACAGACCCGCGAGGCCCCTCAACCTCCTCTGCAACCCTTGGTGGAGAGGGGAAGAGGGAGAGGGAGAAGGTGTGGGGGGGCGCAACGGGGACATCGCAGGTGCGCCTCGTGGAGGACCTCTTCTTCAGGCCGATGTCCAACCCGCCGCTGGCGCGCAAGTGCTGGAAGTCCTGCTTCCGGGCGGCCTACGTGGTCTTCCTGGCCATGGTGTCCGTCGGGGCCTCCACCTCGCTGGACAACTTCGTGAGCCTCATCGGCGCCGTGTGCGGCGTGCCGCTGGCCTTCGTCTTCCCCGCCATCTGCCACTTCCACATCGCGGCCCGGGGCGTGCCCGCCCAGCGGCGCCCCCGGCGGTGCGCACAAAGGGGCGGGGGGGGGGGGGGCGAGGGGGGGGGGGGGCGGCCGCCTCCCCTCCGAGGTGGGCCCCTGGACCTCCGACGGGCAGCCGAGACGGACGGCAAGGCTCAGCGCCTTCCGGAGGGCACCCGTTCCGCATCCCCCTGCCTCGCGGGTCCATCCTGGACCGCTCTCGAGGGCCCGCCCCGCTCGAGAAGCTTCGGCGTGGGCGCGTCTCCAGTGGCGCGTCCTGACTCGGGCTTCGAGGGGGCGGCAGCCGCGGCGACGGGAAGCTTCCCAGACTGCGGCAACGAGAAGGTTGCCAGAGTCCTTCCCTCCCCAAAAATCAACACATTGACCTCGAAGTTCGAAGTCGAGGGGTGCGGCCGTCTGAGAAGGGTATCAGTGGGACTTCTCTTGGCGCGGAGCGCAGAGGACAAGTCTAAACTGCACCTACAACACACGTACCCACACACACGCACACGCACACACACGCACACACACACACACACACACACGCGCACACACACGCACACACACACAAACACACGCACACGCACACGCACACGCACACAGACACACACACACAACACACACACGCACGCACGCAACACACACACACACACACACACACACACACACACACACACACACACACACACACACACACACACACACACGCACACACACCTTTGTGGAGCTGCTGTTCCCGTGGTGGGGGGCACACGGTGGTTGCCGTGTGCGGGAATGCCCCCTGGAGAAATGCCACCGCGCCCAAAAAGGGGCCCCTGCGGCCGCGTGGGGGGGGTGCGGGCGGGGGGCGCCTGGGGGGCCGTCCGTCGCTCGTGGGGTCTTCCGCTCTCCCTTGTCCCTGTCCTTCTCCTCCTTTCTTCCTCCTCTCCTTCCTCCTCCTTCTTGTCCTCTCCCCTCTCTGGCCTGGGGGGGATGGGTATGCTGAGCCCGAATGTGCGTCCGTGACGTGCGAGCAACACCCTTGCCCTCGCGGCGGGGGTCCGCTTCGGCGGGGCCTGGGCAGTTGCTCCCGCCCCACGTACCACATTCGGGCTTTGCGCACCCCGCCCCTCGGCCCCTCCCCCCTTCGGGCGGCGTACGGTCCCCCAACCCCCCCGTCGGCCCCAAACCCCCGTCGGCCCACCAGGGGAGGGGCATTGCCCCAAGAGGGCAGGCGCGGCCGTGTAGGCCCGACCTGTCCCGCGGCGTGGCCTCTGTTTGGCCCTACAACCGCTACAGGGCTGGCGCAGCCGTGTAGGCCCGACCAGACCTTGGCGCATGTGGCGCGCGCTTGTTAGCGCGGAGCGTGTAGCTCCGAGGCCTCGAGCCACTGCTCGTGCTTCTGTTGTTCAGCCCGTTGTCGGTTGGCATGTATCTTCAGGCTGCGTGGCCCTGGCGCGCGCGCGCACACACACACGCACACACGCACACACGCACACACGCACACACGCACACACGCACACACGCACACACGCACACACGCACACACGCACACACGCACACACGCGCACACACGCACACACGGCACACACACACACACACACACACACACACACACACACACACACACACACGCGACACACTAGAGTGTTGCGAGGTCCCCAAACACTGCTTGCACTGGGCGGTCTTTGCGTTCTTACTACGGTTCAAGGGGTCGGCGTCTTGTTTCATTATGGGCTTCGACGCTTGGCCGAATTGTGAGGGGGAGACGGGGGGGCGGTCTGGGTCTGGGCCGGCGCTTGGTCGATCTGCTTTGACGGGTCGCGCCAGCAGACCGAGGGGAAGGGGCCCTGACCAGTCGCCGAGAGCAGCCAAGATCTCGTCTGCGGAGCGGGCGGGGGGCGGGGGGAGGCCCGGGGCCCGCGCCGATCGGCGACACGATGCATCAAAAAACGGCGTCTCGGTCGGCTCGTCCCCTCCTCCTCCTCCTCCTCCTCCTCCTCCTCCTCCTCCTCCTCCTCCTCCTCCTCCTCCTCCTCCTCCTCCCGGGTTCTTCGAGCGAGGGCCGCCCCGTGCGGCGGGTCGCGCCTCGGGGCGTTCGCGCGCCAGGCGCCCGTGTGCCCCCCCCCCCCCCGGGCCTCCGCCGAGGCTCTGCGACGCCTGCCTCGCGGCCGGCGGGGTGGTGCTGGCCCTGGCCGTGTCCTGGGTCAACATCGCGGCGTGGGCGCGGCAGGTCGGCTCCTGAGGGCCCCCCGGGGGGGGGGGCTCCGGGGCCTCGCGGCTGGCGGGGAGGTGCTGGCACCACGGCCGCGCCCCGAAGAAGAGCAGACGGCCTCAACAGAGCTCTCGACGGTCCGCGCGGATTTCCTGGGTCTGCGCGGGGGCCCCCCTGACGGCGCCTCCGGCGCCACCCCTGGCGCGCTCCGCGCGGCAGGGAGGGGAGCCAGCGCCGATCTGAGAAGCGCCTGCGGATCGTCGGAAGCTTCTGTTTCGGCAGTTGTGTTATTCCTCTTGTATCCCGGGCGCGGGCGCGGCAGGTTGGGTCCTGACGGCCCTGGGGGCTCGATGGGGCGAGCACGGAGCATTCCACGACCGATGGTTGCAAAGGCCCTACGGCCGGTGCCGCCAACCTTGGAGGGGGATGACGACGACGACGACGACGACGACGACGACGACGACGACGACGACGACGACGACGACGACGACTGGAGGCTCGAGGAGCGAGCACGGAGGATTCGAGGACCGATGATTTCGAGTGTTCTTCTCTCCCTGTCAGGTGCTGCCTGAGGTGGCCCTGGCCCAACGGGGCCTACTTCGGTCTGGTCGATCCGATTCGATGCCAATCTCGCCAGCCCGATCCGATTTGATTCCGGGTCGATCCGATTCGATGCCAATCTCGCCAGCCCGATCCGATTTGATTCCGGCTTACCGACGGTCTGACGCGGCAGGCTTGATGCTTGCATGTAGGTGTTGTGCATCTTGGCGCAGCCGATCGGATTCGGTTTCGATTCCG